CGAGTTGACCTAGGACACAGCTCGCCCGACGGCTGAAAGCTCACCCGACTATGACTAGCAGTTCATCCGGCCATGACTAGTAGCTCATCAGACCATGACTAAGACCTAATAGGCTAGGGTCATCCCCGAACGATCGAGACTAAGAGTTCACCCGACCATCGCTAAGAGCTGGGCTGGCCTTGACTAGAGCTGAGCTGACCATGTGTATAAGTTCATCTGACCATGAAATTGAGACGAGCCAACTGATACACCTACTTCAAGTTCAACCGACTAATGCACGTGGATTCCTCTCCAGAACAGAAGTGGTTTTGTCTTTTGTCCTGAAGTGGAACCCACGTGCATCAATTGATCGAACTTGTAGCACTGGTATATGTGGCAAGATTGTATTACAGATGTAAAGCTATTTACGAACAGTCGCTCCGTCTCCTCGTCTTCAGCGTCAAGAATCCAGTTCATCTCCCATCTGCCGCATCCCGGTGCCTTCCAACAGCAGGCCCATCCTACAACTCCTCCTTATCCTCCTCATCAACCTCAGTATCCTTGATAGGATCCTCTTCCGCATCACGAATCGCCTTGGCAAATTCTTCCGCCTCTTTAGGACTATTCGCAAACAAGTGTTCCCGGACAAGTCTCTGCGGCGTCTCGCCAAGCCACTGGAACAAGCTAAAGTCCTGGTACTTGTCTGTACGGAAGATTTCGAGCACCTCGACGTCCTCATCGTCAGACAGGTTCTCGATGAAGTGGCCCATGTTGCGAGGGATGACGCCTACGTCGCCGGCTTGGAAGTCGAATGTGCGCGCTGTGCCTTTGGCGGCGAAGATCGTTACGCGGGCGCGGCCAGCGATGAAGAAGGACCATTCGTCTGCGTTGGCTGTGGTGAAGAGTTAGTATGGAACGATGGATGGGTAATTGAGTGACTTACGGTGCCAATGCATCTCGCGGATTGCGCCAGGCTGAATGCTCAAGTGTGCTGCAGCGACAGTCTTGGAAATGGGAAAGTTTGTCGAATCGGTGATGCGGACTTGACCACCAGTCGTGTTGACAGGCTCCTGAGCAAGCATCTTGTGGGTAAATTGGATCTTCGACTTCTTGTATCCCTTGCCGCCACTTGGAACCTCATCGTCGATGGGACCGGGCTCTGAGCCCTGGAAGATGTACTTTTCCTTCTCGGGGATCGCCTTGAAGACTTCTGGCGAAACGCGGAAGTTCTCACCCAAGACGGACTTGGGAGTCAGTCTCATCCAGTCGGTGAGCAAGAAGGTAGAGTCTTCAGAGAAGTTGCCATCGTCGAACACGAGTAGGAACTCGGTGCCATTAGGGCTCAGGCCTTGCAGCGAGTGAGGATGGCCAGAGGGGAAGTACCATAGGTCACCCTTCTCTAGGTCATCGACGAAAGAGCCACCTTCAGGATCGAGAGCAGTGATGCGGACCTTGCCTTCGAGGACATATGCCCATTCGGCTTCCTTGTGCCAGTGGAGTTCACGAATGACGCCTTCCTCAAGACGCATGTTCACGCCGGCTAGCTCCTTGCTAGTACCCAGCTCGCGAACAGTCGTCTCGCGCGTCCAGCCACCCTCCTCGATACGGATATGCGAGTCGGCAAAGGACCATCGCATGTTGGGGATCGCGCCATGGTCGGTGCTGGGTGGGCGGACGAGATCTGGGTTTTGTCGTTCGCGCGCTCGGTTGCGAGGCCCTAGAACACTCGCTCCGTCACCATTGCGCTGGAAACTTTGTTAGCATGTTGACCATCATCGAGCTAGATATTCGTCGTTCCGCGGAGGAATGATCTCAATGATGGACTCACGTAGGGCAGTGGCTGAAGCTTGTCGCCTTGTGAATCAATCTTCTTGTCAAATGGATCATTGTTGCCAGGCTTGTACGGGTTGAAGACTTTGTTAGGTCCTGCGTGGTGTCGCGCACTGCCAGCCAGCGGTTGTTGTTGCTCCAGTGGCGCAGCCACGGCACCACATACGCCAAGCGCGACCAGTAACGACGGAAGATGCATGACGGCTTCAATTGACCTCAAGTGAAGAAGCTGAAGAGGATCGCGAAGTCGAAAGTTTATTCACCCGGCAGACGACGCCCTTTTGACATGCCGCGTGCATTGCGCGTCCTGCAATGCCGTGTGCCGATGACGACAGTCTAGCCATGATTATTTATGATGCTTGCTTGACACTAAGCAATCAACCATCCACTCCCACGCCATCTCCGCGCATCAATCACCATTTTTCCACGCACCATACCCACCGAAACCGTTTCCCCGCACACCAAACGCATTGCTTGTACATGTACAGCCACATCAGGAAGGTCTTCAAGCCACACGTCCTGAGATATCCTGCAATTGCCGCAGCGGGCGTCGAAAGCTTAACTGAAGCTTGAGTCGAAGTGCCTGTCGATCTGCACGCTGGCTCGCGTCTTCCCGGTTCTGCTGACGCGATTGTCTGCACCCCGCCCCAACTGACATAACTACCGGTCCTCGCAGCCCTCCCAATATACGACTACACGATCTCCTCCCACGCGTGCAATCATGAGCAGCGTAACGCGCAGAGACGCCACGCGCAGCGGCGCAGACGAGGAAACGCCGCTTCTCGGCCGAAATGGACCAGCCGGCGGAAAATCGGACAGCAAGGGGACTATGCAGCGGCTCAAACGGCACATGAATGCCGATGTTACGAAGAACTGGGCAGATCTTGTTTTGCTGTATTGCTACATTGTTACGGGGCTACTGGATAGCTCGGCTGTCTTCATATGGGGCTCTTTCGTGAGCATGCAGACGGGTGAGTAAGACGCGCCATCTCTCTCAGACTAGAAGCTTACTCAACATGCAGGTAACACCGTGTATCTTGGCTTGGGCATTGTCGCACCTTCTGAGGGCATCCGTTGGATCAAGGCATTGACGTCCATTGTCGCGTTCTGTGCTGGCTCATTCTGCTTCGCGCGCTTTCATCGCTACTTCTCACCTGCCAAGAGATGGGTGCTCATAGTATCCTACATGTTCCAGACGCTACTCATTGCTGTCGCTGCATTGATCGCTACTGTCGGGAAAGACACCAAGGAAGGTCTTCATTGGCAAATGATTGTTCCACTCGCTTCGGTCGCTTTCCAATCCAGTGGCCAGGCAGTCACGTCGCGCGCCCTGAAGTACAACGGCCTGACCAGTGTCGTGCTTACGAGCAACTACTGCGATCTCTTTTCTGACCCTCAGCTGTTCAAGATTTCGAATGTGGAGCGCAACAGGAGGATCGCTGCACCCGCGATGCTGCTGTTGGGAGCCTGCATCGGCGGATTGTACGCGCACAGCAGTGTAGGTCTCGCAGGTGCCTTATGGACTGCTTGTGGCCTGAAGCTCCTGGCTGTCTTCGCGTGGGTCTTTTGGAAGTCGGAGGTCATTGTGGAAGAATGAAATGTCGCTCCGACAAGAAATTTTGGTCGTCCTGTAGAGGCCGTCCTGTTGGTCTCAGGCAGCCACGCCCAACCATGGTACCACCGTCGCAACAAAACCTACTCTATATTATTCTTTATGCTGCCCACAGCCGTCTCCAACCATTACTCATCCATCTTTTGGACTTACGTCTCTATAATCACCTCTGCCCGAAAACAACTCGTGTCTACAATACAAGATGAAGCCCAACAGACAGGGTATTTATGGCTTCGTCAAGAACCGCGATGTGCAGCCACTGCTCAAGTCGGAGATTCGGGGCCTCGCTAACATCCAAGACCGCCTTGCTGGAGCCACGGTAGTAGCCTTCGATATGGAAGGATTCAATCAGCATCCTGATGGTCGATACCGCTCCAGCGAGGAGTCAGGTGAGCTTGGAGTCGCAGTACTACGACCCAGTTCGAAGCCACTTCGCTGCTTCTCGTCTATGTATCACTTCTACAATCAAAACGAGATCGAGGCATTTACCATTCGCATTCAAGAACGGCGTTACGGGCCTGTTGTTGGAACCATGACCGACGAGACCAAGCAGACTGCTGGCGCAAGACTGCACAAGTTTTTGTCCTCCATCCCAGGCGAACTTATACTGGTGGGCTTTGGTATGCAGAGGGAATTCAAATGGATCAGCGATGAGTATCCGGCCATCGCAGCACTTTTTACTTCTTGGTGCGATATACAAGAGCTTGTCGCCGATTCCGACAAGAGCATGACTGCCGAACCCGACAAATTACTTACTCAATATCGTGAGCCCAGTCTAGATCGAGTCATGAAAGCTCTGAAAATAAGTGGATGGCGCTCCAGGCATCAGAAACATGGGGCCGCTGGCGATGCCGTCAAATTTCTGGCTGTTCTTTCCGCACTCTTTTGGGGAAGAGTTTTGCATGAACTACCCAAACCAAGCATTTGCCGCTTATCACGTCTCCCACACAGGAAGTATGATGAATATAGTGGGATACGAAATGCGCGTATTACCGCGTGGGATGGAAGTAAACTGCCTTTGCAAACACCAAACGGTTTAGCGGATTTCTGCGCTCTCCATCATGGGTTACTTGCTGTGGGTCTCGATGCAATTGCGGCAAACTTGGCAAGAGACAGAAAGAGAATATGGTGGGTATCATTTCTAACGAAGGAGGCGCTCGACGAGTTCATTGCCAAAGTGCATGGGTCGCTTTACGAGGGAGTGAAACTGTTCGTCACACCAATGGCTCCACCAAACAAGTATCTAGCCGCCAAAAGGTCGAATGAAATGGCTTGGAAACAGCCGAGAACCGTCAGTAGATACGATGGCGATGATCTGATAGCAGCTTTCGAGTAAGTCAAGGAACCGACATCGACTCGGATACATTCGGGCTAACGTTTATAGTATACTTAGCACCGTAGGTGAATGTGAAGAAGAGGTACTCGCGTACTGTCGCCGCAACTCGGACAAACGCTCATCTGGCTCCGCGATACCGACGCAAACAGCACTCCCGTTAGCTGCCTACAGCCTTTCGGTTCTGATACCGCTCCAACACACAAGCACAACACTCACCCGACCTTGCAATATTTACCGCGAAGGATGGCGCTCGAATCGCTGAAGAGATCCTTTGGGACTATGATGAATATTACGAAGAAGAAAGAGCCATCCGAAGATTCTATCATGACAACCGACTCTCCCGGTCAAAGCTTTGGCAGCCTAAACTCGTGCGCCATGTCCATTGACAGCGAAGACGCTCCACAAGACAGCGGCGTCGACATCAAAAGTCCACCAGTACCGCCTCCCAACACGCAGTCTGACCAGTATAACGACATCGATACTGTGAACCTATACACCAACCCCAGCCTTATCGAAACCGAGGCTCAGACATCCACCACCACCCCGACATTCACCGGCCTCCCTTCCACCATCCGCGCACTAATCTGGTCCTACGCCGCTCCCGCCCCGCGAACCCGTTTCCTCGAACTCCACACCTACAACACTATCGACCACATCCCGCGTCTCCGCTACATACCCCCACTTCCACCGCTCTTCTCCACCAACCAAGAAGCCCGAAACTTCATCATCGCACACGAAGGTGGAGAACTCGTTAGTTTCACTTCGGAGAACTTTACCGCATTATTCTCCTTTCACGGCCGAAAGATCGGTGGAGAAGAAAATGAGAAGAAGTTCTACTTTAACTTCGACAGGGATATCATATGGTTGAGTGCGAGGTTCACAGCTGCTTGCAACACCACTGAGACAGTTCGTCTGCAAACATTGTCTTCTATCCTGCCGTCTGCCAGTCTTTCTCGTATCCAACGCCTCGTAATCTCATACTCGGGTCTGGACTCTTACGCGCTTATTGGACCACATCTGCGCCCTTTTGCGCGTCTTGAGACGTTGTATCTATGTATGAACGATGCGCGCATCAAGGATAATGTGAAGAGGTTACTCAAGAAAGGTGTACCGGCTGATGGTGTGACGGCTGAGAAATTGAGGAGCATGATTGAGCAGACTGAGGCTGATGAAACGGATGATGATGAGGAGAGCGAGGAAATAGCTATGGAGAGGTTGATGGTGAGGGCAAGGAGGAGAGTGCTGGAGGTTTATCTGAGACTAGGAGACTAGTGGGTGTATGGCTGGGTCTTTAGTGTTGATGACTTTGGGTATGCTGAGCTAGGCGCTTCATTCCAGAGAAAACCATGATCTTGATTTGGCTCTACGACGAGGGCATTGGATAATGCCCAGCGGGAAGAGTACGTAGCATGTGCTCATACAATCAATACCAGCACCCCAAACAAGCAAGAGTCTGAACAGGCCTGGAGCCTACATCGACGTTAGGTCACCTACTTTGCAAGTTTTCATGTTCATGTAGGCTGCAGGCCTGTTCGGTTTTGTTCCTAGGTTGCTATACTAAACGACCATGTCATCCAAGCTTGGCGACTCACCCACCGTCCGCTTCGATAACTCAAAGCTCAATACAGTATGATCCATATAGTACATCAATAAGCGCCATCGGCGAGGCTTAGTGAACCCTTCTTGATCCGGTACTTCGATATCTTCTGAAGTGTCAAACATGCCTTGTAAAGGCGCTACAGCCACACCAAGCAGCCGTTCATTCGGCCCTCCCGCTATCTCCGTCTCATTGCCTGACCGAAACGGCAGAAGGTATTCAAGTTCAAAGCCATACCGCGGCTCCCCAGTGTTCTCGTCTCTAGTATAGTACAGACTGAAGACGCCGACACGGCCCGCCGGAGAACCGACTATGAAGACGCCCAGCTCGGGTATCTGGGAGAAGAAGCAGTGTCGGTCGCAAGACATGAGGTAGTCTACCCATCGGCCTGGATGTAGCGGTCGTCTTATCGCGACGATGGGCTTGAGAGGCACATTGAGTGATGTTGCGGAAAGGCCTTGGATGAGGAATACGTCCTCTTTGGTGAAGATTAAGAATGGGCCACCCATCTGTTCTGCGATAGGCCTCAAGTCATCAGTCAGGCGATACGGCGCTCTGTTAGGGCTGCGCAATGTTCCGGGTCGAATGGAAGACAACAGCGTCTCACTTATGCCAAACTGCGCTGCGTTAGTCACCTAACGTGTCTTTAACTTTAATATGAACGAAGAGGAGATTTGTTCCCTGTGATGCCGCACCTCATCTAAGAAAAAACTGAACAGGCTTGCGGACTACGTCAAACCAAAACCCTACAAAGTAGGTCACCCAACGTCAACGTAGACTCTAGGATGTTCAGTTTTCTCCTAGGTTGGCGTGGCTTTACTCTCTGCCTACGTCCTAGTTGGATGCAACCGACAAGAGGGGGCTTTATATTACATGTTGCAAAAGATACAGTAGAGACTACACTTACAGATTGAGCCAACTCCTCAAAGGTCATCCCGAGAAGCTGGTGATTCGAATCAATATCTTCTTCGTCGTTGTCTGTCTCGGTCGCTTCGCTGACTGCTTCGATTTCTTCGTCATCTGTACTGTCCTCTTCGTCGTCTGTGTCGGGATGATATTGATGAGAGGTGGTTTCGGAAACTTTGAAACGTTTCTTCTGGTCGGAGACATCTATGAAGTCGCAGTCTTCGTCCAACGGTAACTCGTATGCGGATCGCGTGTCCAACGCTATAGTACCCCAGGCTCCGTGGAGAACATTTTGCGCGCCCGGACAGTCGCACAGGAACCTGTGAGATATGTAACGAGGCGGCTTCGAGAGATTGCTTGCGCTTGCGCACCAGCCTAACTGGAATGTAGCCACCTCCTGCTTGGTGTACAAGTCCCACATCGATGTCTTGCCATCAATGCAGCTGCTCAAAAGCCAGCGACCGGAGTCACCGTAGAATGATACTGCGGGAACATTGTTCGTCGCCTGAAGGGTAAAGACGTTGTTCTCTCTTCTGCTGTGTGGGAAACCAAGCTTGGTATCGTGGTCTGAGACTTCCAATCCGTTATCGGAAGCGAGCGCAAATGCGATTATCGTTATCTGATGAGTGTTCTGTTGAGGTTAGAGGAGCAGAGCGTGTGAGGAATAAACGTTCTCATTACCGCACTAATCGCGATCATGCGAGTCTTGCGCTGTACAGCCAAGCCCCAAGCACTTCTGCCGACATTGGAGCGAAGAAACACATGGACACCGTCCTCGTCAGCAGGCTCCTGCACGTTGGTGCGCCGTTCCAACGCTCGGTGGATCTCTCGGGTTCGATATATAATAACGTCGCCATCGTCGCAGGCCAGCATGAGCATCTCTTCGTTGCCGACATAATCGACCAAGATGCGACATATAGAGTGAGGGTTTGATGGGTCAATTCCATACCCACGAGTGCCAGTTCTTGGCGGGTGCAGCACAAGCTCAGGCTTATCAGATAAACTCTGGTCAGGAAAGCTTGGTTGATAGACATAAAGCTCATCGACACAGGCAAGAAAATAGAGGTTATGTTGATGCGAAAGGCCCGTCAAGTCGCAACGCCAATCTCGCAAATCTGGAGGCGCGACACCATCGGCGAACTATCCTGGGTCAGCGGCAATATTAAAGATTCGAATCTCAATTATTCGGCAGATTCTGAACGTGAACGGTATGACTGTGTTTTGCTAAGATCATGGTAGGCTCTCGCCGTGCTCCCGGCAACTCAGTAGGGCACGCATGCAACATCGCAACTCACCCGGTTTTCTCCGCGGTGATCACCCGTTGGTATACAGGCGATGTGTGGGAACATGGTGAATACCGCATTCTTGCTCCAAAAGTGGTGTTCAAAATGCGAAGTTTGTGTCGTGTGGTGGGCGAGAGACAGAGCTGGTGATGGTTGGTTGTGACGTGAGCTAGCGCCATCCTACCTAAGTAGGTACGGCCCGCGGTTAGACGCCCGGGCGTGTACCACGTGCTAGTGCATTCACCACTGTACCTCATACAAGGGAAAATCTGAATACCCTAGAGCCTAAGTTGTCGTTGGGACACCTACTTTGCATATTTTTATCTTAATGTAGACTCTCGGGTATTTATCTTTGGCCTTGACTAGGGTGACTGCTCAAGCATAATAAGAAAAAGCGGGCACGGAAAATAAGTCGGTCACGGAAAACGGTTTATACTCAACAAACAGTTCGTGGTAGGGGACCAGCGGTTGAAAATAGGCCTCAATGTCACGAGACTTTCAGCCTGTTCGGTATTATAATCTTATAGCGCTATGAACGTCATAGTTATATATGTCTCTCGTCATGCTTTCTCGTCCCAAGACCACGGCCGATGCCAGACCACTTGCATAGATCTTTCATAGAACATCAACCCCGTTAGATCCAGTATCCGAACGCCGTCTAATGCTTCGCGGTAACCTTGTCGCCAGTGAGCTTCTCAACAGCCTCCTTGGCACTAAAGATTCGTTAGCGGAGGTTCGAAGAGCAGTAACAGCAAAACTTACACATCGCCGAGAGCAACCATGCAGACCGTCTGCCAAACGCCAAGACCGATTCTAGGAGTAACGCCACGGTAAAGACCCTTGATACCGTTGTTCGAGTAGATGTACTTGAACGCAGATGCGACATTCAGGTTCTTGGGGCGGTTGGGGTCAACAGTCTTGGACTGAAGCTCCACGCGAATAACCTCAATAGGCTGGTTCCACGCGCTCAAACCACCACCGAGAGCTGAAGCGGTGATCTTCTCAATCACGCTGAGCTTCTCGCCGTGCTGCTTGTCCATAACCTTGCGAATACCGGTTTCCGCAACACGAGACAGACCGAAACGGGATCCCCAGTTGGTGACCTGGCGCACCGCGACGGCGTTGACACCACGGTTGATACCGCGGAGACCCTCCGCGCGCCAGATGCCCATGAATGTCTCGAGCGTACCCGGAGGCTTCGCACCGGTGGCTGCGACCTTGTGCTTTGTAATCTCGACCGTCTTCATGCAAGTGCAGAAACCCATGGTGGCATAGGCTTGAGCAAGACCACCCGTCATACCACCAGAGATACCGGCAAGAAAGTCGGGGGCGCCGAATGACTTGGCGTAGTATTCGGCTTCGGAAGCGACGAAGAGAAGGACGGCTCCTTTGGTGGAGGCTTCGATCCAGGCCCATGGAATGAGACCCTGGTAGACTGTATGTTTGTTAGTGGGATGGTCTGGAAGCCGTAGAATGCATACTGACATCCAAGAACACCTCCACGCGCCCAGATGCGACCAATGGCTCCCGAGAAGCCTTCAGACCTGTTGGCAGCCATGGTAGTCTTGACGACCTCCAACGGCTATCATCGGTCGTTAGTGTGCTTCCGGCGAAGTTTGTTGCATGAAATTGCGTACCTGTCCCAGAGTTGTCACTCTGTCATCTTCAGTCAGCTTCAATTGCTCTCTTGGTGTTGAAGTGGGATGTTTACTTACTCAAACATGTTGAGACCAGCACCGACTGCGCCTACAGTCAGCACATATTTCCGCTCTCTATCAGCACGCAGACTCACGCAACAGATTGCTAAACTTGACCGGCTTCTTCTCGAGCGATGGCGGGCCGTTCCTCGCCATGCTGGGGACGCCCGTCGCAGGTGTGGAGCTCATTCTCTGGGATTCTCTTGTCGAAGATATGCGGCCTGACCAAGGCAAAAGGGTGCTCCGTCGCAAATGTGAGTAGTATCAAGTGTGTGAGCAAAGCGAGGAAAGGGATGCATAGAAAAACGGTATAAGCTTGCGAGGTGGTCTGTGTTGCTGGTTGACCGCCGTCCGGGCGCGCTATAATTGGGGTTGTCCCTGAGGCTATCGGCCACTTGGCGGAAGGGCCATGTCCCGCAGCTGCTTCCCATCCGCGGCCATGTACCGGGCGAGGGGTCTAGCATTGCTTTTGCCTCCAAGTACTCTCCGAAAGTCACTTTCTCTATTACAAGTATGCTCGTGTTTGCTTTTGCGATTCCATGTACAGCTATGTAGTACACCACCTGAACAGCGAATTGTTGGGTCGGATTGGCGTCGGGTCGCACTGGAGAGCTCAACGATCCGCATCGGTTCCCCATCGCTCAACGAAAGCTACCCACGCTCCGAATATCCCGGTTACTTATCTCACCGTTCGTTGCTTTTTGCGCCGATGCGATTGGGCCAATTTCCTACACCTGAAAATGGCCCGAAGGCACTCACGACGGTTTCATCGCAACAGACACATAGTATGAACTTCATAGAGCGTAGATTTCTGATCATCAAGACGTGAGAATACAGCAATTCGTTCACTAAAATGTAGTGATGTAGCGCCGTAACGCTCCCATTCCCTATCCTTACATTGCAATTCTACACAGGACAAGGTATCTCTGAATGTTAAACAAATTCCTCCACATTCTCCTGGCCGTAGAGCACGTTGCAGTAACGCGCTTACAACTTAGCACCAACCAACTTGGCGTAAGCCTCAGTGCTGAAAGACTTGGGCCTCTCGATGGGGGCACCGACGGCACGGTCAATGATGAGCTGAGGAAGGACACCGAGCGCACGGGATACACCGAAGAGGACGGTGTAGTAGTTCTGCTCAGTGAGGCCGTAGTACTGGAGGAGGACACCGGAGTGGGCGTCGACGTTGGGGTAGGGGTTCTTGGTCTTGCCGTGCTCGGTGAGAACACCGGGGGCGATCTTGTAGACCTGGCTGACGAGCTTGAACATTGGGTCGTCGGGAAGGTGCTTCTGGGCGAACTCGCGCTGGGAGACGTAGCGGGGGTCGGTCTTGCGGAGGACGGCGTGGCCGTAACCGGGAACGACTTGGCCAGCCTTGAGGGTGGACCACAGGTAGTCCTTGATGGCCTGGTCGCTGAGGTCGTTGCCGATAGCCTTCTTCATCTTCTGGAGCCAGACGAGGACTTCCTGGTTGGCCAGTCCGTGGAGAGGACCAGCAAGACCGTTCAGACCAGCAGCCAGAGACAGGTAGGGAGAGCTAAGAGCTGAACCAACCAAGTGGGTGGTGTGGGCGCTGACGTTTCCACCCTCGTGGTCGGTGTGGATGGTGAGGTACAGGCGCATCAGCTCAACGAAGTCCTTGTTCTCGGAGAAACCGAGCTGGTTGGCCAAGTTGAAGGAGTAGTCCTTGTCCTTCTGGATGGGAGCAACCTTGCCGTCCTTGTAGATGTTGCGGTAGATCTTGGCGGCGAGGGTGGGGAGCTTCGCGATGAGGTCCATGGCGTCCTCAAAGGTGTGCTCCCAGTACTGCGACTTGTGCATGCCCTTGGCGTAGGCCTTGGCGAAGTTGGACTCGTGCTCGAGAGCAGTGACGGCGAGAGAGAACTGGGCCATGGGGTGGAGGTCGCTGGGGCAGCGGTCGATGAGCTCCTCGACGAACTTGGGGACATCGGAGCGGGCAGCCCACTCGGCGGAGAGGTCGCGGACCTGCTGCTCGGAGGGGACCTCGCCGGTGAGGAGGAGCCAGAAGAGACCTTCGGGGAGAGGCTCCTGGCCGCCGGGGGCCTTGGGGAGGAGCTCCTGGCATTCGGGGATGGTCTTGCCGCGGAAACGGATACCCTCCTCAGAGTCGAGGACGGATCCCTCCCAGACGAGCGACTTGATGCCACGGGCACCACCGTAGACCTGGTCGAGAGTGACCTCGCCGACAACAGTGTTGCCGTGCTCCCTGGGATATGATGTCAGCGGTGCACTGGGGTGGGCGCGGGGCCGGCAGCACGTACTTGCGGAGCTTCTTGATCTTCTCGATCTCGCCGGGCAGCTTGTTGGCGAAGGTCTCCTTCAGCGACTGCAATTGGCCTGGTTAGCGCGTGTCTTGGCCTCTCAAGAGAGAAGTGGCATACCTGAGTCTTGCCGGTGGAGTAGCAGCGGAGGCCATTGAAGGCTGTGGTCCGCAGAGGGGCGGCGGCGCGGAAAGCGCTCGACAGTCGTAGAGCAGAAGCCATGGTAGTGATGTGTGAGGAAGGACAAGAGGGCGGGCGGATGGGGGGGAGTTAAAAGGCTTCGATCGGGACGATGCGAGAAAATATCGGTGGAGCTCGCACGGTCGTCATGGTCGCGCAACCTTGCAGCGAAAGGAATGCTACCCGCGCGGGCAACGTTCGGAAGTCCCTCAGTTCCGGTGCTGTGGAGGGCCAATGGAGTCGAGTGAAGCGTAGTCTCGCACGAGGCTTCTATCGGCAAAAAGAACAATTCATGATACCGGCATGGTCATGGTCATAACAGTTCATGTTCATGTTCGATTTCACTTTTTCGCAGACAGGTACGCAGCCGCTACTGCCGGTTTCCGAGCATACAGGCCATAGTATGGAGTGCTAAGCCTGGGACATGTAACAGGACATGCAATCGCCTCGGCACAGTCTTGGTGCTTGCTGGAGCTGGCGGGTAGAGAGTACGTCAAAACGGCGGTGCTCGTATGCAAGGCACAGTCTCTGCTGTGGGCCACGCAGCTCAGAGGCCACATGTACAGAAAAGCTGAGCGATCGCTGGGTCAACAAATGCAGGGCTCCAGATGCTGCAAGCGTCCGGCCAGCAGCCAGCGTGCCAGTCCTTGCCAGTCCGGGCTGGGGTGGATCGTCTCCATCATGTCGTCACGTGTCGGTCGCTAGCGCTGTTTTCTCAAACTCGGCACCAAGCACGCACCCAGCCATCCCTCTCTCTGTCTGGACTCATCACACGGGTCTTACTCACCTGCCGCTGCGCCCTTGACGTAGACCAGCCCCAACTCTGGCGACCTATTCCGCTGCTTCTTTGAACTCTGGCGACCTGCGACGCTCGCACTTCGTAGTGAAGAAGACGCCTCGCGCATATCAATCTCAGCGCGCCGTCGCATCTTAGATTGAATCGCACTACAGCTCGCTCCCTACACACCTCACCACACACGTCAGCGCAATCCCCACACTGCGCATTGCATCTCGCGCGCAGCCCGCTCAACTGCACCTTTCTTCTACAGTCATCGTACTACTTAGATCTGCCCGCTTCGGCTGTCTCTGGCGAGCTCGAGCAAAGTGCTTGCGCGTTTGCCATCTCGCTTCTCTCACCTCGCGCTCCACCCATAGCGCGCTGTTACCGACACTTCTTTTCCTTTCGCATCAAGTTTGACCTGGTCCGTTGAACCTAATCATGGCAGCCATGGAAGAACTAGGCACGCAATTGCAGTCATTACAGGCCCTCAAGCCGCCGGGAGTCACGCCCACCAAGATCAAGGCTATCACGCAGCTGTGCGTCGACAACATTCAGGTATGCCAGTCGCCAGGATCTCCTACACATCCTCCGTGCACATGGAACCTCGTACTAAGTATCTGCCTTCACTTATAGTCTCACTCCGTAATCGTCCAAAAGATCGCCCAACAGCTCCAGAACAGCGTCGCCACACACAAGCTCGGAGTACTATACGTCGTAGATGCAGTCGCCCGCCAATGGGTTGAGAGGGCCAAGCAGGCTGGCCAGGCTGTGTCAAAGAACGCGGCGCAAGGAACCTATGCTTCGGGTGTGCAGATGATGCGAGACGTGCTTCCGGCCATGATGCACAATTTGATTCAATCCGCACCAGAGACACAAAAAGAGAAAATCTCCAAACTCCTAGACATTTGGGAGCGCGGTCAGACCTTTCCACAGGACATGCTCGCCGGCTTCAAGCAGCAGCTGAATGGAGGCCAAAACAGTAGGTCAAGACTCGTGTTTCAGGCGTCATCTAGCTAACCCGTAGTCAACGTAGATGCATCAGCACCTCCAGAGCCACATAAGAGTAACGGCACAGTACCAGTATTCAACGGGCACACTAACCAACAGCCAACACCCCCTGTAGCTCTGCCACAACCTCCACAAGACCCGGGCGCTCTTTTCGCTGCGCTCGCTGGCGTCGGTCAGCAGAATGGGCAAACTAACCCTCCACCTGCAGCAGCTTCTGCGTTTCCTTTTCAACAGAACATGGTACCGCCACCACCCCCTGGCTTCGTGCCTCCGCCACCTGCTGGAGCAATGGGGCAGCCTAACATGCCTGTTCCCCCCGCTGGTACGAATGAGATCGTGACTCAGATTCTAAAGGCTATGAGCGCTGGCTCCATCCAACCCGACCAAGCAATACAGGCACTGAATACGTTGGCTATGGCCCAGAATGGCGGAATGCCTATGCCACCAATGCAGCTCCCGGCTGTTGCGCAGACACCGCCACAGGTTCAGCCTGCTGCGCAGAACGGTAACCAGGCAGACAGATATGATCTGAACGACAGTAGAATGCGCGACCGTAGCAGATCGCCCGACTATCAACGTCGACGATCGCCCGTGCCTAGATCTCCACCAAACCCAAATCGGCGGGAAAGTCCGACATATGGTGTGTACGACCCCAATGCAGGTCCCGAGGGCAATGCACAACGCTTTGAGCGAGGTGAGCGCGGTCGTGGTCGTGGTAAACAGAGGGGTGGTCGTAATGATCGTAATGAGTATCGCCAGCGGTCACCGCCGCGACGACAGCCGAGCCCGCCTAGGGCAGCGTATGGCCAGTCGAAGTATATCGAGTGGGATGAAACTTTGCCGCGCGATCACATCAGAGTCCTCAGCCGTACATTATTCGTAGGTGGTGCTGGCGGAACTGAAGG